TCTTCTACTTTTTGAGAAACGAGCGTTTCCGTTCTCCCTGGCCCCACCTGCACTATGGGTGCGAAATGCCGGCCAGACTGGCCGATGCACCATTTTCTCTAACATGTGCGTTAGTTTACCTTTCAACCCTTACGTTCACTAGATGATATATTTCCTACCTTATATTTGAGTGAGACCACTAGATTCCGTGTATTATGCGAGATCTGAGCGGTTCCGTGCTCCAGGCATTGCACTCTAAGTTCCCATACTGACCGAGACCTGGCCAATGCAACCACTTTCCATATACATATACATTAGATTCCTTCCGAACTTTATTAGCTCACTAGATTTATATCTTTCCCACCTTCTAATCAAGTGAGACCGCTAGATTCCCTCTACTTTTTGAGAAATGAGCGTTTTCGTTCTCCTTGGCCCTAGTTGCACTATAAGTGCGAAATGCCGGCGAGACAGGCCGATGCACATTTTCTCTACACATGTGCGTTAGTTACCTTTCAAACCCATTACGTTCACTAGATGAATATATTTCCTACTTCTATTTGAGTTGAGACCACTTGATTCCGTGTACTATGCGAGATCTGAGCGCTTCCGTTCTCCCTGGTATTTGCATTTTAAGTTCTAATACTGACCGACCTGGCCAATGCAACCATTTTCTCTATACATGTGCGTTGAATACATTTCAAAACCTTTTAGCTGACTAGATTTATATATTTCCCACCTTCTGATCGAGTGAGACCGTTAGATTCTTCCTACTTTTTGAGAAACGAGCGTTTCCGTTCTCCCTGTCCTCACCTGCACTATGGGTGCGAAATGCGGGCCAGACTCGCCAATGCACCATTTTCTCTACACATGTGCGTTAGTTACCTTTCAAACCGTTACGTTCACTAGATGAATATATTTCCTATCTTCTATTTGAGTGAGACCACTAGATTCCATGCATTATGCGAGATCTGAGCGGTTCCGTTCTCCCATGCATTTGCACTCTAAGTTCCCATACTGACCGACCTAGCCAATGCACCACTTTCCATATACATATGCATTAGATTCCTTCCGAACCTTATTAGCTCACTAGATTTATATATTACCCACCTTCTGATCGAGTGAGACCGCTAGCTTCCCTTTACTTTTTGTGAAATGAGCGTTTCCGTTCTCCTTGGCCCTACTTGCACCATAAGTGCGAAATGCCGGCCAGACTGGTCGATGCACCATTTTCTCTACACATGTGCGTTAGTTACCTTTCAAACCCTTACGTTCACTAGATGAATTTATTTTCTACCTTCTACTTGATTGAGACCACTAGATTCCTTGTACTATGCGAGATCTGAGCGCATTCCGTTCTCCCTGGCATTTGCACTCTAAGTTCCCATACTGACCGACCTGGCCAATGCACCATTTTCCATATACATATGCATTAGATTCCTTTCAAACCTTATTAGCTCACTATATTTATATATTTCCCACCTTCTGATCGAGTGAGACCGCTAGATTCCTTTACTTTTTGAGAAACGAGCGTTTCCGTTCTCCTTGGCCCTACTTGCACGATAAGTGCGAAATGCCGGCCAGACTGGCCGATGCACCATTTTCTCTACACATTGCGTTAGTTACCTTTCAAACCCTTACGTTCACTAGATGAATATATTTCCTACCTTCTATTTGAGTGAGACCCACTAGATTCCGTGTACTATGCGAGATCTGAGCGCTTCCGTTCTCCCTGGCATTTGCACTCTAAGTTCCCATACTGACCCAGCCTGGCCAATGGAACCATTTTCCATATACATATGCATTAGATTCCTTTCGAACCTTATTAGCTCAGTAGATTTTATATTTCCCACCTTCTGATCGAGTGAGACCGCTAGATTCCCTCTACTTTTTGAGAAATGAGCGCTTCCGTTCTCCTTGGCCCTAGTTGCACTATAAGTGCGAAATGCCGGCCAGACTGGCCGATGCACAATTTTCTCTACACATGTGCGTTAGTTACCTTTCAAACCCTTACGTTCACTAGATGAATATATTTCCTACTTTCTTTTTGAGTGAGACCACTAGATTCCGTGTACTATGCGAGATCTGAGCGCTTCCGTTCTCCGTGGCATTTGCATTTTAAGTTCTGATACTGACCAACCTGGCCAATGCACAATTTTCTCTATACATGTGCGTTGAATACATTTCAAAACCTTTTTAGCTGACTAGATTTATATATTTCCCGCCTTCTGATCGAGTGAGACTGTTAGATTTACATTTCTGCTTTTTTGAGAAACCAGCGTTTCCGTTCTCCCTGGCCCCACCTGCACTATGAGTGCGAAATGCCGGCCAGACTGGCCGATGCACCATTTTCTCTACACATGTGCGTTAGTTACCTTTCAAACCATTACGTTCACTAGATGAATATATTTCCTACCTTATATTTGATTGAGACCACTAGATTCCGTGTATTATGCGAGATCTGAGCGGTTCCGTTCTCCCAGGCATTTGCACTCTAAGTTCCCATACTGACCGACCTGGCCAATGCTCCACTTTCCATATACATATGCATTAGATTCGTTTTCAACCTTATTAGCTCACTAGATTTATATATTTCCCACCTTCTGATCGAGTGAGACCGCTAGATTCCCTTTACTTTTTGAGAAATGAGCGTTTCCGTTCTCCTTGGCCCTACTTGCACTATAATTGCGAAATGCCGGCCAGACTGGCCGATGCACCATTTTCTCTACCCATGTGCGTTAGTTACCTTTCAAACCCTTACATTCACTAGATGAATATATTTCCTACTTTCTATTTGAGTGAGACCACTTGAGTGCGTGTACTATGCGAGATCTGAGCGCTTCCGTTCTCCCTGGCATTTGCATTTTAAAGTTCCGATACTGACCGACCTGGCCAATGCACCATTTTCTCTATACATTGTCAGATTATTATATCTGATGCATGTTTGTAGGCTATAGTGGGGTAGCACATATGGGGTACAGCTTTCTAGGGTTGTATTTGTACCCAACTCTGACTTAGTCATTTCCATTCCTGTTTACCTATTCTCACATAGTATAGAGCGGGTCCCTCTTAAGGACCGTTTTTTTTTAGGGCCCACCCACGAATTACTCTCTGCCCGGAGCGCGCCCTACTCTCCCCGAGGCGCGCTCCCCCTTAGTAGCGTTTCGCGCTGCACTTGTGGGCCCCCGCGAGTCGCGCGCGCGCAAATTTTTTTTTAGCGCGCGCGGCTCGGGCCCACGTCGCGCGGGCTCTACGGCCGCGCCGCGCCGCCCTCATCGGCCCGGCTGCGCCCCGCCGCCCTCGAACCGGCCACGCGGCCGCTTCGTCGCGGCTGCGGGCCCCGCTTTTGACGGCCCCGCCGTTCGTTTTTTACGGCCCCGCCGTCCCCTTTTTTGACGGCCCGCGGCTGCCTCAGCCGGCCCCGCCGTTTCCTGTCAGGGCCCCGCCGTCCCCCTCTCCCGGCCCCGCCGCTGCACCTTCCCGGCCCGCCGCTGAGCCCTGACGGCCCCGCCGCTGCACCTTCACGGCCCGCCGCTGAGCCCCGACGGCCCCGCCGCTGCAACCTTTTGACGGCCCGCCGCTGCACCCTGACGGCCCGCCACTGCACCTGTCCCGGCCCCGCCGGCTTCTGTCCCGGCCCTGCCGGCGCACCTCTGTTGGCCCCGCCACTGCACACCCGGCCCCGCCGTCCCCTATCCCGGCCCGCCGCTGCACCTGTCCCGGCCCGCCGCTGCACCTGTCCCGGCCCGCCGCTGCAACTTTCCCGGCCCGCCACTGCACCTGTCCCGGCCCCGCCGGCCTCTGTCCCGGCCCGCCGCTGCACCCATACCCGGCCCCGCCGCCCACTGACGGCCCCGCCGTCTCTTATCCGGCCCCGCCGCTGCACCTTGACGGCCCCGCCGTCCCCTGTCCCGGCCCCGCCGCTGCACCCTGACGGCCCCGCCGTCCCTTATCCCGGCCCTGCCGCTGCACCTTGACGGCCCCGCCACTACACAGCAGCAGGGCCACCCGGGAGCAGCCGGACCGCCCAGCAGCAGCCGGACCGCCCAGCAGCAGCCGAGCCGCCCAGCAGCAGCCGAGCCGCCCAGTAGCAGCCGAGCCGCCCCGCAGCAGCCGAGCCGCCCAGCCGCAGCCGAGCCGCCCAGCAGCAGCCGAGCCGCCCCGCCGCAGCCGAGCCGCCCAGCAGCAGCCGAGCCGCCCAGCCGCAGCCGAGCCGCCCAGCAGCAGCCGGACCGCCCAGCAGCGGCCGAGCCGCCCTACGCCGAGCCGTCCGGGAGCCGAGCCGCTGTGCACCCGAGCTGCCCGGTAGCCGAGCCGCCTTTCTGCAGAGCTGCACGACCTGCCCTGCCTGGTGAGCACAGTCCCTCTGTCACTGCGCCCTCTTTCCCTACTGCTTGCACTGCTTCACTGTCGTCGCCATGGCTACCCCTAGTGTCCTAGTCTTTGACGCCGAGGGTCGCGCCATTGACTTTGAGGTCTGGCTAGACGACCTGCAGCTGTTCTTACAGTGCGACAGAGCTGACGGCCTTTCTCTCTTTGACCTCACCTCTGGCGCCTCTCCTGCTCCTGCTGCCGATGCTGATCCCACTGTTCGCTCTCAGTGGGCCACCCGCGATGCTGCTGCACGTCTTGCTGTGCGTCGCCACCTCCCTACCTCTGAGCGTGCGCACTTTAGTCAGTACAAGAGTGCTCAGACCTTGTACGACGCTGTCGTTGCGCGCTACTCCTCCCCTGCCACTGCTGCACTGAGCCGTCTCATGCTTCCCTACCTCTTTCCTGACCTCTCTGCCTTTCCCACTGTTGCTGACCTCATTACGCACCTCCGCACTAGTGACACTCGCTACCGCGCCGCCCTTCCTGCTGAGTTCTGCACTAAGAACCCCCCCCCCCCATGTACATCACTCTCTACTACGTAGTCGCACGCCTCCCTGACTCCCTTCGTGTAGTCAGGGACCACTTTCTAGCAGTCTGTCCCACCACTCTCACCGTCGACCTCCTCGAGAAGGCCCTCCTCTCAGCTGAGAAGAGCATAGTTGCTGTAGGGGCTTCTCGTGGTGACCCTCGCACCCCCATCTTTGAGGGGTGCTCTCCTTCCCCCTTGCTGCCCTCTGTTGCCTCTGCTGCTGCTGCCGACCTGCTTGGTCTTGAGTCGGTCGGCGCGGCGTCTGCCCCTAGTGGGAGACGTCGCTCCAGCAAGGGCAAGGGGGGCAAGGGCGCGGGTGGAGCTGGAGGGAGCGGTGGAGGTGGCGGCGGTGGCGGCGGCGGGAGTGGGAGTGGCGGCGGGAGTAATGGAGGTGGTGGTGGTGGTGGCAGCAGCGGCGGAGACGGTGGTGGTGGCGGCGGCGGTGGTGGAGGTGGCAGCGGCGGAGGTGGAGGCGGCGGAGGTGGAGGCGGTGGAGGCGGTGGAGGCGGCGGCGGAGGAGCAGGAGGTGGTGGAGGGAGCGGAGCTGGTCGGGGTGGTACCCAGCAGCGTAGCGGCGGTGGTGGTGGCCAGCGCTCGCAGCGGCAGCAGCAGCAGCGCTCACGGGACATCCCTCCGCCCCAGCAGCTTCGTGAGTGGTACGCTGGGCGTCTGAGGGGTGGGGGTACTGGTCCCTGCACCTACGTTCTTCGTTCCGGCGACCGCGCGGGTGAGCAGTGTGGGGGTGCCCACGCCACCCTGCGCTGCTTTGGCCGCCTGACGGACGCTTGGCGTCAGCAGTTCCCCGGTGCTAGTGAGATCCCTCGTTGGGATGAGCTCCTTAGGGCTGGTGTAGCGATCTTTGATCTTGATTTTGATGCTATCCTTGCTGCTATGTATGCTGTGACTTATAGTGAGGAGAATGAGGGTTACCGGTGTTTCCAGCCCGACCCGGGCATTGGTACTGCTGCGCTAGGTGCTTGTGAGGCTGCTGCTCTAGGTGCCAGTGCGTCTGCGCTCTCAAGTACTGGTGAGACTGCGCTTTCAGGTACTGAGTCGCCCTCGTCCTCCCTCACTTTCACACTTGACTCCGGAGCTTCTCGCTCCTTCTTCCGAGACCGCACTACCCTTACGCCTCTTGGCCGGCCGGTTGCGGTCTCCCTTGCTGACCCCTCTGGGGGTCCTGTCCTGTCTCACTTCTCCACTGTCCTCCCGTGTCCGGCTGCCCCTTCGGGCACCCTGTCTGGTCTGTACCTTCCCTCGTTCTCCACGAACTTGGTGAGTGGTGCGGCCCTACAGGATGCGGGGGTTCACCAGTTCACTCCTGCGAGTCAGGGGGTGACCCACTGCACGGACGCGCGCACAGGCCGACACCTGGCCACCTTCTCGCGTCGGCCGGGGTCGAGTCTCTACACCCTGACCACTTCGTCTCCTCCTGTTCCTGTGTCAGGTCAGGTAGCTGCGTCAGGTCAGGTGTTTGTTGCTGCGTCCCGGTCAGGTCCTGAGTCTGCCCCCTGTTCTTGCCGCCTCCTGTCTCACGAGACTCTTCTGTGGCACCACCGTCTTGGCCACCCCTCCTTGCCCCGTCTTCGGAGCATGGCGTCCCGTGTCCTTGTCTCTGGTCTTCCCCAGTCTCTCCCTCCTCTCCCCTCCGGGCCAGGACCTTCCTGTGTCCCCTGTGTCGAGGGTCGCCTCCGGGCTACTCCTCACTCCTCCCACTTCCCCCCGACAGAGGCTCCCCTGCAGACGCTTCACATGGATGTGTGGGGCCCAGCCCCCGTCCGTGGGCAGGGTCACGAGCGCTACTTCCTGTTGGTGGTTGACGACTACTCGCGTTACACCACAGTCCTCCCCTTGCGCAGCAAAGGTGCGGTCACTGAGGTGCTGATCGACTGGATCCGCGAGGCTCGTCTCCAGCTCAGGCAGAGATTCAGCTCGGACTTTCCTGTTCTGCGTCTGCACTCAGACAGAGGCGGAGAGTTCTCCTCTCGCCTTCTGCGAGACTACTGTCGCGCACGGGGGATCCGCCAGACCTGTACGCTTCCAGACTCTCCACAGCAAAATGGGATTGCTGAGCGCCGCATTGGCATGGTCATGGATGTCGCTCGTACGTCCATGATGCATGCGGCTGCCCCCCATTTTCTGTGGCCGTTTGCGGTGAGGTACGCGGCGCATCAGCTCAACCTTCACCCCCGGGTCTCTAGGCCTGCGATGTCCCCAGCCTTGCTGTGGACGGGGAAGGTTGGCGATGCGTCTGCGTTCCGTGTCTGGGGATCTCGGGCGTTTGTCCGCGACTTGTCTGCGGACAAGCTGTCCCCTCGTGCTGCTCCCTGTGTCTTCCTTGGCTTCCCCACTGACGCCCCAGGGTGGCAGTTTTACCACCCCTCCTCTCGTCGTGTTCTGTCCTCCCAGGACGTCACGTTCGACGAGTCAGTCCCCTTCTACCGTCTCTTCCCCTACCGTACTCCCTCCCCCCCCCCCCCCTCCCCCGGACTTCCTGGTGCCGGTTCCTCCCCAGGTAGACCCCCTTCCCCCTCAGGTTCCTGCCCCCTCAGGTGTGTCCCAGGTAGACGCCGCTGACCCGGTCGAGGTTACTGGTGACTCTGGTGCTGCTGCGGGTGCTGAGCCTAGGGGTGCTGACTCTGGGGGTGCTGTGCGCGGGGGTGGTGAGCCTGAGTGTGCTGGGCCTGGGGGTGCTACTGCGGAGAGTGCGGAGCCTGGGGGTGCTGAGCCGGGGGGTGCTGTGCCTGGAGGTGCTGGGTCTGGGGGTGCTACGTCGAGAGCTGCTGAGCCTGGGGGTGCTGCGTCTAGAGCTGCTGAGCCTGGGGTTTCTCCTGCTGCGCCTCGCCGGGAGCCCCTCTCTCCACAGGAGCTGCGCGAGTGGTTCGCTCGCCGCTGGAGACGTGCTGCTGAGTCTGGCGGTGCTGTTGGAGCTGGAGCTGGTGCTTCTGCGACCGTCGAGGGTGCTGGTGCTGCCAGTCCCGGAGCTGCTGGACCTGCGGGTCCTCCTGAAGCTGGAGCTGCTGGGGCCGTTGGTGCTGAGACTACTGCTGTTGGTCCTGCCGCTGGAGGAGTGGGTGACGCTGGTGCTGTCGCTGAGGGTGCTGGTGCTGTCCCTGCTGCGTCTGGAGCTGCCGCGCGGCCTCGGCCGTACTTCGTCCCGCTTCTGCAGCAGGTTCTTGGTCTTTCTCCTCCAGTAGAGGGTCCACCGCCTGTCCAGTCGCAGTCCCTGCTGGAGCCTTCCTCTCCACTGCCTGCTCCCTCTCCTTACACTGGTCCTACTGGAGGTCTTGCTGAGCGTCGTGAGCCTGCGTCTCGTCCCGCGTCGCCTGTTCGTGCTGCATGCGCTAGTGGTCGCAGTTCGCGTCAGCGTCCTCCTCCTGTCCCTGGCACGCACCGGATGTCTCTGCGTCCGTCCACTGCTCCTCTGCGTGCCCCTTTGCCTTCTCCTCCTGAGTCCTCTCTTCCTGCGCTTGCCGACCCTGAGTCGGACTCTCTTCGTGCTGCCAGTCCTACTGTCACGCGTCTACTTGCTATTGTCGTCACTGACCCCTCTTTTGAGTCCAGTGCTGCGTCTGCTCTTGTCGCTGAGCTTGTCGACTTTGCTGCTCGCTGTCGTCTAGACTACGCTGCTAGTCTTGTTGCTGAGTCTGCGTCTGTCTGTCCTCCGTCCGTCGGGGGTGAGTGTGCTCTTGGCACGGACGTCCTAGAGGACAGGCAGGAGGAGCTACAGTGTCTAGCGGCTGCTTCACCTCATCTCGCGTCTGTACTGCTTGCCCCTGAGGGAGACCCGGATGCACTAGACATCCCGACTCCACGTTGTTACGCGGAGGCCGTAGAGGGTCCCTACTCCTCTCAGTGGCAGGCAGCTATGGATGCAGAGATGGCTTCCTGGAAGTCCACAGGCACCTACGTTGACGCGGTTCCCCCTCCTGGGGCGAACATCGTCAGTGGCATGTGGATCTTCAGGGTGAAGCGGCCGCCTGGCTCTCCACCTGTCTTCAAGGGGCGGTACGTTGCTCGTGGCTTCAGTCAGCGGCAGGGAGTTGACTACTTTCAGACCGTCTCTCCCACCCCGAAGATGACCACTCTTTGGGTGCTGCTGCACATAGCCGCTCAGCGCGACTACGAGCTTCACTCTCTCGACTTCAGCACTGCGTTCCTGCAGGGTAGCCTGCACGAGGAGATCTGGCTGCGCCGTCCGCCTGGCTTCACTGGGACTTTCCCTCCTGGCACCCAGTGGAGCCTCCGACGGCCAGTCTACAGTCTCCGCCAGGCACCGCGTGAGTGGCACGACACACTGAGGACTACGCTTGCGGCTCTTGGGTTTGCTCCTTCTACTGCTGACCCGTCGCTGTTTCTGCGCACCGACACTTCCCTGCCGCCGTTCTACATCCTCGTGTACGTCGACGACTTGGTCTTTGCCACAGCGGACACTGCTGGACTTGCCTACGTGAAGTCCGAGCTGCTGAAGAGACACACGTGCACAGACCTGGGTGAACTGCGCAGCTACCTTGGCTTGCAGATCACTCGGGACAGAGCACGCCGCACCATTACCTTGACTCAGTCACACATGGTGCAGCAGGTCCTTCAGCGCTTCGGCTTCACGTACTCCTCGCCTCAGGCCACTCCTCTGCCTACTCGCCACTCACTCTCAGCTCTGCCTTCGGATGAGTCCGTAGAGTCGAGTGGTCCGTATGCAGAGCTTGTTGGCTGCCTCATGTACCTGATGACCTGCACACGACCTGACCTTGCATACCCTCTGAGCATTCTTGCACGCTATGTTGCTCCTGGCAGACACCGACCAGAGCACATGGTTGCAGCGAAGAGGGTATTGCGCTACCTGTGCAGTACGTCGGGCATGGGGCTAGTGCTTGGAGGGCGGAGTCCGGTGGTCGGACTGTGTGGTGACTTTGTGATCCACCCTGAGCTTGCTTTGCTTTGCTTGACTGGTTTTGTGACCCCTTGTTCTCCCCCACTTTGCCTATGGGGGTGTGTCAGATTATTATAGCTGATGCATGTCTGTAGGCTATAGTGGGGTAGCACATATGGGGTACAGTTTTTTAGGGTTGTATTTGTACCCAACTCTGACTTAGTCATTTCCATTCCTGTTTACCTATTCTCACATACATGTGCGTTGAATACATTTCAAACCTTTTTAGCTGACTAGATTTATATATTTCCCACCTTCTGATTGAGTGAGACCGTTAGATTCCCTCTACTTTTTGAGAAACGAGCGTTTCCGTTCTCCCTAGCCCCACGTGCACTATGAGTGCGAAATGCCGGCCAGACTGGCCGATGCACCATTTTCTCTACACATGTGCGTTAGTTACCTTTCAAACCCTTACGTTCACTAGATGAATATATTTCCTACTTTCTATTTGAGTAAGACCACTTGATTCCGTGTACTATGCGAGATCTGAGCGCTTCCGTTCTCCCTGGCATTTGCATTTTAAGTTCCGATACTGACCGACCTCACCAATGCACCATTTTCTCTATACATGTGCCTTGAATACATTTCAAACCTTTTTGGCTGACTAGATTTATATATTTCCCACCTTGTGATCGAGTGAGACCGTTAGATTCCCTCTACTTTTTGAGAAACGAGTGTTTCCGTTCTCCCTGGCCCCACCTGCACTATGAGTGCGAAATGCCGGCCAGACTGGCCGATGCACCATTTTCTCTACACATGTCCGTTAGTTACCTTTCAAACCCTTACGTTCACTAGATGAATATATTTTCTACTTTCTATTTGAGTGAGACCACTTGATTCCGCGTACTATGCGAGATGTGAGCGCTTCCGTTCTCCCTGGCATTTGCATTTTAAGTTCCGATACTGACCGACCTGGCCAATGCACCATTTTCTCTATACATGTGCCTTGAATACATTTCAAACCCTTTTGGCTGACTAGATTTATATATTTCCCACCTTGTGATCGAGTGAGACCGTTAGATTCCCTCTACTTTTTGAGAAATGAGCGTTTCCGTTCTCCTTGGCCCTACTTGCACTATAAGTGCGAAATGCTGGCCAGACTGGCCGATGCACCATTTTCTCTACACATATGCGTTAGTTACCTTTCAAACCCTTACGTTCACTAGATGAATTTATTTCCTACCTTCTATTTGAGTGAGACCACTAGATTCCGTGTACTATGCGAGATCTGAGCGCTTCCGTTCTCCCTGGCATTTGCACTCTAAGTTCCCATACTGACCGACCTGGCCAATGCACCATTTTCCATATACATATGCATTAGATTCCTTTCGAACCTTATTAGCTCACTAGATTTATATATTTCCCACCTTCAGATCGAGTGAGGCCGCTAGATTCCCTTTACTTTTTGAGAAATGAGCGTTTCCGTTCTCCTTGGCCCTACTTGCACTATAAGTGCGAAATGCCGGCCAGACTGGCCGATGCACCATTTTCTCTACACATGTGCGTTAGTTACCTTTCAAACCCTTACGTTCACTAGATGAATTTATTTCCTACCTTCTATTTGAGTGATACCACTAGATTCCGTGTACTATGCGAGATCTGAGCGCTTCCGTTCTCCCTGGCATTTGCATTTTAAGTTCCGATACTGACCGACCTGGCCAATGCACCATTTTCTCTATACATGTGCTTTGAATACATTTCAAACCTTTTTAGCTGACTAGATTTATATATTTCCCACCTTCTGATCGAGTGAGACCATTAGATTCCCTCTACTTTTTGAGAAACGAGCGTTTCCGTTCTCCCTGGCACAAACTGCACTAGGAGTGCGAAATGCCGGCAAGACTGGCTGATGCACCATTTTCTCTACACATGTGCGTTAGTTACCTTTCAAACCCTTAGGTTCACTAGATGAATATATTTCCTACCTTATATTCGAGTGAGACCACTAGATTCCGTGTATTATGCGAGATCTGAGCGGTTCCGTTCTCCCAGGCATTTGCACTCTAAGTTCCGATACTGACCGACCTGGCCAATGCACAACTTTCCATATACATATGCATTAGATTCCTTCCGAACCTTATTAGCTGACTAGATTTATATATTTCCCACCTTGTGATCGAGTGAGACCGTTAGATTCCCTCTACTTTTTGAGAAACGAGTGTTTCCGTTCTCCTTGACCCTACTTGAACTATAAGTGCGAAATGCCGGCCAGACTGGCCGATGCACCATTTTCTCTACACATGTGCGTTAGTTACCTTTCAAACCCTTACGTTCACTAGATGAATATTTTTCCTACTTTCTATTTGAGTGAGACCACTTGATTCCGTGTACTATGCGAGATCTGAGCGCTTCCGTTCTCCCTGGCATTTGCATTTTAAGTTCCGATACTGACCGACCAGGCCAATGCAACATTTTCTCTATACATGTGCGTTGAATACATTTCAAACCTTTTTAGCTGACTAGATTTATATTTTTCCCACCTTCTGATCGAGTGAGACCGCTAGATTCCCTCTACTTTTTGAGAAACGAGCGTTTCCGTTCTCCCTGGCCCCACCTGCACTATGAGTGCGAAATGCCGGCTAGACTCGCCGATGAACCATTTTCTCTACACATGTGCGTTAGTTACCTTTCAAACCCTTACGTTCACTAGATGAATTTATTTCGTACCTTCTATTTGAGTGAGACCACTAGATTCCGTGTACAATGCGAGATCTGAGCGCTTCCGTTCTCCCTGGCATTTGCACTCTAAGTTCCCATACTGACCGACCTGGCCAATGCACCATTTTTGATATACATATGCATTAGATTCCTTTCGAACCTTATTAGCTCACTAGATTTATATATTTCCAACCTTCTGATCGAGTGAGACCGCTAGATTCCCTTTACTTTTTGAGAAATGAGCGTTTCCGTTCTCCTTGGCCCTACTTGCACTACAAGTGCGAAATGCCGACCAGACTGGCCGATGCACCATTTTCTCTACACATGTGCGTTAGTTACCTTTCAAACCCTTACGTTCACTAGATGAATATATTTCCTACCTTCTTTTTGAGTGAGACCACTAGATTCCGTGTATTATGCGAGATCTGAGTGCTTCCGTTCTCCCTGGCATTTGCACTCTAAGTTCCCATACTGACCGACCCGGCCAATGCACCATTTTCCGTATACATATGCATTAGATTTTTTTCGAACCGTATTAGCTCACTAGATATATATATTTCCCACCTTCTGATCGAGTGAGACCGCTAGATTCCCTTTAGTTTTTTAGAAATGAGCGCTTCCGTTCTCCTTGGCCCTAGTTGCACTATAAGTGCGAAATGCCGTCCAGACTGGCCGATGCACAATTTTCTCTACACATGTGCGTGAGTTACCTTTCAAACCCTTACGTTCACTAGATGAATATATTTCCTACTTTCTATTTGAGTGAGACCACTTGATTCCGTGTACTATGCGAGATCTGAGCGCTTCCGTTCTCCCTGGCATTTGCATTTGAAGTTCTGGTACTGACCGACCTAGCCAATGCACCATTTTCTCTATACATGTGCGTTGAATACATTTCAAACCTTTTTAGCTGACTAGATTTATATATTTCCCACCTTCTGATCGAGTGAGACCGTTAGATTCTTTCTACTTTTTTGAGAAACGAGCGTTTCCGTTCTCCCTGGCCCCACCTGCACTATGGGTGCGAAATGCCGGCCAGACTGGCCGATGCACCATTTTCTCTACACATGTGCGTTAGTTACCTTTCAAACCCTTACGTTCACTAGATGAATATATTTCCTACCTTATATTTGAGTGAGACCACTAGATTCCGTGTATTATGCGAGATCTGAGCGGTTCCGTTCTCCCAGGCATCTGCACTTTAAGTTCCCATACTGACCGACCTGGCCAATGCACCACTTTCCATATACATATACATTAGATTCCTTCCGAACTTTATTAGATCACTAGATTTATATCTTTCCCACCTTCTAATCAAGTGAGACCGCTAGATTCCCTCTACTTTTTGAGAAATGGGCGTTTTCGTTCTCCTTGGCCCTAGTTGCACTATAAGTGCGAAATGCCGGCGAGACAGGCCGATGCACAATTTTCTCTACACATGTGCGTTAGTTACCTTTCAAACCCATACGTTCACTAGATGAATATATTTCCTACTTTCTATTTGAGTTAGACCACTTGATTCCGTGTACTATGCGAGATCTGAGCGCTTCCGTTCTCCCTGGTATTTGCATTTTAAGTTCTAATACTGACCGACCTGGCCAATGCACCATTTTCTCTATACATGTGCGTTGAATACATTTCAAACCTTTTTAGCTGACTAGATTTATATATTTCCCACCTTCTGATCGAGTGAGACCGTTAGATTCTTCCTACTTTTTTGAGAAACGAGCGTTTCCGTTCTCCCTGTCCCCACCTGCACTATGGGTGCGAAATGCGGGCCAGACTCGCCAATGCACCATTTTCTCTACACATGTGCGTTAGTTACCTTTCAAACCGTTACGTTCACTAGATGAATATATTTCCTATCTTCTATTTGAGTGAGACCACTAGATTCCATGCATTATGCGAGATCTGAGCGGTTCCGTTCTCCCAGGCATTTGCACTCTAAGTTCCCATACTGACCGACCTAGCCAATGCACCACTTTCCATATACATATGCATTAGATTCCTTCCGAACCTTATTAGCTCACTAGATTTATATATTCCCACCTTCTGATCAAGTGAGACCGCTAGATTCCCTTTACTTTTTGTGAAATGAGCGTTTCCGTTCTCCTTGGCCCTACTTGCACCATAAGTGCGAAATGCCGGCCAGACTGGCCGATGCACCATTTTCTCTACACATGTGCGTTAGTTACCTTTCAAACCCTTACGTTCACTAGATGAATTTATTTTCTACCTTCTACTTGATTGAGACCACTAGATTCCTTGTACTATGCGAGATCTGAGCGCTTCCGTTCTCCCTGGCATTTGCACTCTAAGTTCCCATACTGACCGACCTGGCCAATGCACCATTTTCCATATACATATGCATTAGATTCCTTTCAAACCTTATTAGCTCACTATATTTATATATTTCCCACCTTCTGATCGAGTGAGACCGCTAGATTCCCTTTACTTTTTGAGAAACGAGCGTTTCCGTTCTCCTTGGCCCTACTTGCACTATAAGTGCGAAATGCCGGCCAGACTGGCCGATGCACCATTTTCTCTACACATGTGCGTTAGTTACCTTTCAAACCCTTACGTTCACTAGATGAATATATTTCCTACCTTCTATTTGAGTGAGCCCACTAGATTCCGTGTACTATGCGAGATCTGAGCGCTTCCGTTCTCCCTGGCATTTGCACTCTAAGTTTCCATACTGACCCACCTGGCCAATGGACCATTTTCCATATACATATGCATTAGATTCCTTTCGAACCTTATTAGCTCAGTAGATTTTTATATTTCCCACCTTCTGATCGAGTGAGACCGCTAGATTCCCTCTACTTTTTGAGAAATGAGCGCTTCCGTTCTCCTTGGCCCTAGTTGCACTATAAGTGCGAAATGCCGGCCAGACTGGCTGATGCACAATTTTCTCTACACATGTGCGTTAGTTACCTTTCAAACCCTTACGTTCACTAGATGAATATATTTCCTACTTTCTTTTTGAGTGAGACCACTTAATTCCGTGTACTATGCGAGATCTGAGCGCTTCCGTTCTCCGTGGCATTTGCATTTTAAGTTCTGATACTGACCAACCTGGCCAATGCACAATTTTCTCTATACATGTGGGTTGAATACATTTCAAACCTTTTTAGCTGACTAGATTTATATATTTCCCGCGTTCTGATCGAGTGAGACTGTTAGATTCCGCCTTCTGCTTTTTTGAGAAACCAGCGTTTCCGTTCTCCCTGGCCCCACCTGCACTATGAGTGCGAAATGCCGGCCAGACTGGCCGATGCACCATTTTCTCTACACATGTGCGTTAGTTACCTTTCAAACCATTACGTTCACTAGATGAATATATTTCCTACCTTATATTTGATTGAGACCACTAGATTTCGTGTATTATGCGAGATCTGAGCGGTTCCGTTCTCCCAGGCATTTGCACTCTCAGTTCCCATACTGACCGACCTGGCCAATGCTCCACTTTCCATATACATATGCATTAGATTCGTTCCCAACCTTATTAGCTCACTAGATTTATATATTTCCCACCTTCTGATCGAGTGAGACCGCTAGATTCCCTTTACTTTTTGAGAAATGAGCGTTTCCGTTCTCCTTGGCCCTACTTGCACTATAATTGCGAAATGCCGGCCAGACTGGCCGATGCACCATTTTCTCTACCCATGTGCGTTAGTTACCTTTCAAACCCTTACATTCACTAGATGAATATATTTCCTACTTTCTATTTGAGTGAGACCACTTGAGTGCGTGTACTATGCGAGATCTGAGCGCTTCCGTTCTCCCTGGCATTTGCATTTTAAGTTCCGATACTGACCGACCTGGCCAATGCACCATTTTCTCTATACATTGTCAGATTATTAAATCTGATGCATGTTTGTAGGCTATAGTGGGGTAGCACATATGGGGTACAGCTTTCTAGGGTTGTATTTGTACCCAACTCTGACTTAGTCATTTCCATTCCTGTTTACCTATTCTCACATAGTATAGAGCGGGTCCCTCTTAAGGACCGTTTTTTTTTTAGGGCCCACCCACGAATTACTCTCTGCCCGGAGCGCGCCCTACTCTCCCCGAGGCGCGCTCCCCCTTAGTGCGTTTCGCGCTGCACTTGTGGGCCCCCGCGAGTCGCGCGCGCAAATTTTTTTTTAGCGCGCGCGGCTCGGGCCCACGTCGCGCGGGCTCTACGGCCGCGCCGCGCCGCCCTCTCGGCCCGGCTGCGCCCCGCCGCCCTCGAACCGGCCACGCGGCCGCTTCGTCGCGGCCGCGGGCCCCGCTTTTGACGGCCCCGCCGTTCGTTTTTTACGGCCCCGCCGTCCCCTTTTTTGACGGCCCGCGGCTGCCTCAGCCGGCCCCGCCGTTTCCTGTCAGGGCCCCGCCGTCCCCTCTCCCGGCCCCGCCGCTGCACCTTCCCGGCCCGCCGCTGAGCCCTGACGGCCCCGCCGCTGCACCTTCACGGCCCGCCGCTGAGCCCCGACGGCCCCGCCGCTGCACCTTTTGACGGCCCGCCGCTGCACCCTGACGGCCCGCCACTGCACCTGTCCCGGCCCCGCCGGCTTCTGTCCCGGCCCTGCCGGCGCACCTCTGTTGGCCCCGCCACTGCACACCCGGCCCCGCCGTCCCCTATCCCGGCCCGCCGCTGCACCTGTCCCGGCCCGCCGCTGCACCTGTCCCGGCCCGCCGCTGCAACTTTCCCGGCCCGCCACTGCACCTGTCCCGGCCCCGCCGGCCTCTGTCCCGGCCCGCCGCTGCACCCATACCCGGCCCCGCCGCCCACTGACGGCCCCGCCGTCTCTTATCCCGGCCCCGCCGCTGCACCTTGACGGCCCCGCCGTCCCCTGTCCCGGCCCCGCCGCTGCACCCTGACGGCCCCGCCGTCCCTTATCCCGGCCCTGCCGCTGCACCTTGACGGCCCCGCCACTACACAGCAGCAGGGCCACCCGGGAGCAGCCGGACCGCCCAGCAGCAGCCGGACCGCCCAGCAGCAGCCGAGCCGCCCAGCAGCAGCCGAGCCGCCCAGTAGCAGCCGAGCCGCCCCGCAGCAGCCGAGCCGCCCAGCCGCAGCCGAGCCGCCCAGCAGCAGCCGAGCCGCCCCGCCGCAGCCGAGCCGCCCAGCAGCAGCCGAGCCGCCCAGCCGCAGCCGAGCCGCCCAGCAGCAGCCGGACCGCCCAGCAGCGGCCGAGCCGCCCTACGCCGAGCCGCCCGGGAGCCGAGCCGCTGTGCACCCGAGCTACCCGGTAGCCGAGCCGCCTTTCTGCAGAGCTGCACGACCTGCCCTGCCTGGTGAGCACAGTCCCTCTGTCACTGCGCCCTCTTTCCCTACTGCTTGCACTGCTTCACTGTCGTCGCCATGGCTACCCCTAGTGTCCTAGTCTTTGACGCCGAGGGTCGCGCCATTAACTTTGAGGTCTGGCTAGACGACCTGCAGCTGTTCTTACAGTGCGACAGAGCTGACGGCCTTTCTCTCTTTGACCTCACCTCTGGCGCCTCTCCTGCTCCTGCTGCCGATGCTGATCCCACTGTTCGCTCTCAGTGGGCCACCCGCGATGCTGCTGCACGTCTTGCTGTGCGTCGCCACCTCCCTACCTCTGAGCGTGCGCACTTTAGTCAGTACAAGAGTGCTCAGACCTTGTACGACGCTGTCGTTGCGCGCTACTCCTCCCCTGCCACTGCTGCACTGAGCCGTCTCATGCTTCCCTACCTCTTTCCTGACCTCTCTGCCTTTCCCACTGTTGCTGACCTCATTACGCACCTCCGCACTAGTGACACTCGCTACCGCGCCGCCCTTCCTGCTGAGTTCTGCACTAAGAACCCCCCCCCCCCATGTACATCACTCTCTACTACGTAGTCGCACGCCTCCCTGACTCCCTTCGTGTAGTCAGGGACCACTTTCTAGCAGTCTGTCCCACCACTCTCACCGTCGACCTCCTCGAGAAGGCCCTCCTCTCAGCTGAGAAGAGCATAGTTGCTGTAGGGGCTTCTCGTGGTGACCCTCGCACCCCCATCTTTGAGGGGTGCTCTCCTTCCCCCTTGCTGCCCTCTGTTGCCTCTGCTGCTGCTGCCGACCTGCTTGGTCTTGAGTCGGTCGGCGCGGCGTCTGCCCCTAGTGGGAGACGTCGCTCCAGCAAGGGCAAGGGGGGCAAGGGCGCGGGTGGAGCTGGAGGGAGCGGTGGAGGTGGCGGCGGTGGCGGCGGCGGGAGTGGGAGTGGCGGCGGGAGTAATGGAGGTGGTGGTGGTGGTGGCAGCAGCGGCGGAGACGGTGGTGGTGGCGGCGGCGGTGGTGGAGGTGGCAGCGGCGGAGGTGGAGGCGGCGGAGGTGGAGGCGGTGGAGGCGGTGGAGGCGGCGGCGGAGGAGCAGGAGGTGGTGGAGGGAGCGGAGCTGGTCGGGGTGGTACCCAGCAGCGTAGCGGCGGTGGTGGTGGCCAGCGCTCGCAGCGGCAGCAGCAGCAGCGCTCACGGGACATCCCTCCGCCCCAGCAGCTTCGTGAGTGGTACGCTGGGCGTCTGAGGGGTGGGGGTACTGGTCCCTGCACCTACGTTCTTCGTTTCGGCGACCGCGCGGGTGAGCAGTGTGGGGGTGCCCACGCCACCCTGCGCTGCTTTGGCCGCCTGACGGACGCTTGGCGTCAGCAGTTCCCCGGTGCTAGTGAGATCCCTCGTTGGGATGAGCTCCTTAGGGCTGGTGTAGCGATCTTTGATCTTGATTTTGATGCTATCCTTGCTGCTATGTATGCTGTGACTTATAGTGAGGAGAATGAGGGTTACCGGTGTTTCCAGCCCGACCCGGGCATTGGTACTGCTGCGCTAGGTGCTTGTGAGGCTGCTGCTCTAGGTGCCAGTGCGTCTGCGCTCTCAGGTACTGGTGAGACTGCGCTTTCAGGTACTGAGTCGCCCTCGTCCTCCCTCACTTTCACACTTGACTCCGGAGCTTCTCGCTCCTTCTTCCGAGACCGCACTACCCTTACGCCTCTTGGCCGGCCGGTTGCGGTCTCCCTTGCTGACCCCTCTGGGGGTCCTGTCCTGTCTCACTTCTCCACTGTCCTCCCGTGTCCGGCTGCCCCTTCAGGCACCCTGTCTGGTCTGTACCTTCCCTCGTTCTCCACGAACTTGGTGAGTGGTGCGGCCCTACAGGATGAGGGGTTCACCAGTTCACTCCTGCGAGTCAGCGGGTGACCCACTGCACGGACGCGCGCACAGGCCGACACCTGGCCACCTTCTCGCGTCGGCCGGGGTCGAGTCTCTACACCCTGACCACTTCGTCTCCTCCTGTTCCTGTGTCAGGTCAGGTAGCTGCGTCAGGTCAGGTGTTTGCTGCTGCGTCCCGGTCAGGTCCTGAGTCTGCCCCCTGTTCTTGCCGCCTCCTGTCTCACGAGACTCTTCTGTGGCACCACCGTCTTGGCCACCCCTCCTTGCCCCGTCTTCGGAGCATGGCGTCCCGTGTCCTTGTCTCTGGTCTTCCCCAGTCTCTCCCTCCTCTCCCCTCCGGGCCAGGACCTTCCTGTGTCCCCTGTGTCGAGGGTCGCCTCCGAGCTACTCCTCACTCCTCCCACTTCCCCCCGACAGAGGCTCCCCTGCAGACGCTTCACATGGATGTGTGGGGCCCAGCCCCCGTCCGTGGGCAGGGTCACGAGCGCTACTTCCTGTTGGTGGTTGACGACTACTCGCGTTACACCACAGTCCTCCCCTTGCGCAGCAAAGGTGCGGTCACTGAGGTGCTGATCGACTGGATCCGCGAGGCTCGTCTCCAGCTCAGGCAGAGATTCAGCTCGGACTTTCCTGTTCTGCGTCTGCACTCAGACAGAGGCGGAGAGTTCTCCTCTCGCCTTCTGCGAGACTACTGTCGCGCACGGGGGATCCGCCAGACCTGTACACTTCCAGACTCTCCACAGCAAAATGGGATTGCTGAGCGCCGCATTGGCATGGTCATGGATGTCGCTCGTACGTCCATGATGCATGCGGCTGCCCCCCATTTTCTGTGGCCGTTTGCGGTGAGGTACGCGGCGCATCAGCTCAACCTTCACCCCCGGGTCTCTAGGCCTGCGATGTCCCCAGCCTTGCTGTGGACGGGGAAGGTTGGCGATGCGTCTGCGTTCCGTGTCTGGGGATCTCGGGCGTTTGTCCGCGACTTGTCTGCGGACAAGCTGTCCCCTCGTGCTGCTCCCTGTGTCTTCCTTGGCTTCCCCACTGACGCCCCAGGGTGGCAGTTTTACCACCCCTCCTCTCGTCGTGTTCTGTCCTCCCAGGACGTCACGTTCGACGAGTCAGTCCCCTTCTACCGTCTCTTCCCCTACCGTACTCCCTCCCCCCCCCCCCCCTCCCCCGGACTTCCTGGTGCCGGCTCCTCCCCAGGTAGACCCCCTTCCCCCTCAGGTTCCTGCCCCCTCAGGTGTGTCCCAGGTAGACGCCGCTGACCCGGTCGAGGTTACTGGTGACTCTGGTGCTGCTGCGGGTGCTGAGCCTAGGGGTGCTGACTCTGGGGGTGCTGTGCGCGGGGGTGGTGAGCCTGAGTGTGCTGGGCCTGGGGGTGCTACTGCGGAGAGTGCGGAGCCTGGGGGTGCTGAGCCGGGGGGTGCTGTGCCTGGAGGTGCTGGGTCTGGGGGTGCTACGTCGAGAGCTGCTGAGCCTGGGGGTGCTGAGCTGGGAGCTGCTGAGCCTGGGGGTGCTGCGTCTAGAGCTGCTGAGCCTGGGGTTTCTCCTGCTGCGCCTCGCCGGGAGCCCCTCTCTCCACAGGAGCTGCGCGAGTGGTTCGCTCGCCGCTGGAGACGTGCTGCTGAGTCTGGCGGTGCTGTTGGAGCTGGAGCTGGTGCTTCTGCGACCGTCGAGGGTGCTGGTGCTGCCAGTCCCGGAGCTGCTGGACCTGCGGGTCCTCCTGAAGCTAGAGCTGCTGGGGCCGTTGGTGCTGAGACTACTGCTGTTGGTCCTGCCGCTGGAGGAGTGGGTGATGCTGGTGCTGTTGCTGAGGGTGCTGGTGCTGTCCCTGCTGCGTCTGGAGCTGCCGCGCGGCCTCGGCCGTACTTCGTCCCGCTTCTGCAGCAGGTTCTTGGTCTTTCTCCTCCAGTAGAGGGTCCACCGCCTGTCCAGTCGCAGTCCCTGCTGGAGCCTTCCTCTCCACTGCCTGCTCCCTCTCCTTACACTGGTCCTACTGGAGGTCTTGCTGAGCGTCGTGAGCCTGCGTCTCGTCCCGCGTCGCCTGTTCGTGCTGCATGCGCTAGTGGTCGCAGTTCGCGTCAGCGTCCTCCTCCTGTCCCTGGCACGCACCGGATGTCTCTGCGTCCGTCCACTGCTCCTCTGCGTGCCCCTTTGCCTTCTCCTCCTGAGTCCTCTCTTCCTGCGCTTGCCGACCCTGAGTCGGACTCTCTTCGTGCTGCCAGTCCTACTGTCACGCGTCTACTTGCTATTGTCGTCACTGACCCCTCTTTTGAGTCCAGTGCTGCGTCTGCTCTTGTCGCTGAGCTTGTCGACTTTGCTGCTCGCTGTCGTCTAGACTACGCTGCTAGTCTTGTTGCTGAGTCTGCGTCTGTCTGTCCTCCGTCCGTCGGGGGTGAGTGTGCTCTTGGCACGGACGTCCTAGAGGACAGGCAGGAGGAGCTACAGTGTCTAGCGGCTGTTTCACCTCATCTCGCGTCTGTACTGCTTGCCCCTGAGGGAGACCCGGATGCACTAGACATCCCGACTCCACGTTGTTACGCGGAGGCCGTAGAGGGTCCCTACTCCTCTAAGTGGCAGGCAGCTATGGATGCAGAGATGGCTTCCTGGAAGTCCACAGGCACCTACGTTGACGCGGTTCCCCCTCCTGGGGCGAACATTGTCAGTGGCATGTGGATCTTCAGGGTGAAGCGGCCGCCTGGCTCTCCACCTGTCTTCAAGGCGCGGTACGTTGCTCGTGGCTTCAGTCAGCGGCAGGGAGTTGACTACTTTCAGACCGTCTCTCCCACCCCGAAGATGACCACTCTTTGGGTGCTGCTGCACATAGCCGCTCAGCGCGACTACGAGCTTCACTCTCTCGACTTCAGCACTGCGTTCCTGCAGGGTAGCCTGCACGAGGAGATCTGGCTGCGCCGTCCGCCTGGCTTCACTGGGACTTTCCCTCCTGGCACCCAGTGGAGCCTCCGACGGCCAGTCTACAGTCTCCGCCAGGCACCGCGTGAGTGGCACGACACACTGAGGACTACGCTTGCGGCTCTTGGGTTTGCTCCTTCTACTGCTGACCCGTCGCTGTTTCTGCGCACCGACACTTCCCTGCCGCCGTTCTACATCCTCGTGTACGTCGACGACTTGGTCTTTGCCACAGCGGACACTGCTGGACTCGCCTACGTGAAGTCCGAGCTGCTGAAGAGACACACGTGCACAGACCTGGGTGAACTGCGCAGCTACCTTGGCTTGCAGATCACTCGGGACAGAGCACGCCGCACCATTACCTTGACTCAGTCACACATGGTGCAGCAGGTCCTTCAGCGCTTCGGCTTCACGTACTCCTCGCCTCAGGCCACTCCTCTGCCTACTCGCCACTCACTCTCAGCTCTGCCTTCGGATGAGTCCGTAGAGTCGAGTGGTCCGTATGCAGAGCTTGTTGGCTGCCTCATGTACCTGATGACCTGCACACGACCTGACCTTGCATACCCTCTGAGCATTCTTGCACGCTATGTTGCTCCTGGCAGACACCGACCAGAGCACATGGTTGCAGCAAAGAGGGTATTGCGCTACCTGTGCAGTACGTCGGGCATGGGGCTAGTGCTTGGAGGGCGCAGTCCAGTGGTCCTTACAGGCCACGCGGACGCTTCTTGGGCTGACGACCAGGCTACGCAGCGGTCGTCACAGGGTTACACCTTCAGCCTTGGTTCCGGCTCTGTCTCTTGGCGGTCTACTCGCTCGTCTTCGGTTCTCGGCTCCAGTTGTGAGGCTGAGATCTACGCCGGGGCCATGGCTGCACAGGAGCTTCGCTGGCTCACCTACCTGCTGACTGACCTTGGAGAGCCGCCTCGTTCTCCTCCAGTGCTGTACGTAGACAACAAGGCCATGCTGGCCTTGTGTCGAGAGCAGCGCTTGGAGCACAGAACGAAGCACATTGCTCTCCGCTACTTCCTTGCTCGTGAGCTGCAGCAGCGTGGTCAGTTGCGACTTGCGTACGTGGCCTCTGAGGCCAACACTGCTGATGTGTTCACCAAGGCACTCGCGCCTTGTGACCATCAGCGCTTTTGCACCCAGCTGGGTCTTGTGCCTGTCTTGCCTCACTTGCTCTCCTCTTGACTTTACTTGTACTGTGACATATATAAATACCTGCTCCTGATTGTCTAGTTTTATATATATGCCTGTACTCTTGCATGTGAACTGGCCTCTGGCCCTGCTCTTGTGCTCGGACTGTGTGGTGACTTTGTGATCCACCCTGAGCTTGCTTTGCTTTGCTTGACTGGTTTTGTGACCCCTTGTTCTCCCCCACTTTGCCTATGGGGGTGTGTCAGATTATTATAGCTGATGCATGTTTGTAGGCTATAGTGGGGTAGCACATATGGGGTACAGTTTTTTAGGGTTGTATTTGTACCCAACTCTGACTTAGTCATTTCCATTCCTGTTTACCTATTCTCACATACATGTGCGTTGAATACATTTCAAACCTTTTTAGCTGACTAGATTTATATATTTCCCACCTTCTGATTGAGTGAGACCGTTAGATTCCCTCTACTTTTTGAGAAACGAGCGTTTCCGTTCTCCCTAGCCCCACGTGCACTATGAGTGCGAAATGCCGGCCAGACTGGCCGACACTAGATGAATATATTTCCTACTTTCTATTTGAGTAAGACCACTTGATTCCGTGTACTATGCGAGATCTGAGCGCTTCCGTTCTCCCTGGCATTTGCATTTTAAGTTCCGATACTGACCGACCTCACCAATGCACCATTTTCTCTATACATGTGCCTTGAATACATTTCAAACCTTTTTGGCTGACTAGATTTATATATTTCCCACCTTGTGATCGAGTGAGACCGTTAGATTCCCTCTACTTTTTGAGAAACGAGTGTTTCCGTTCTCCCTGGCCCCACCTGCACTATGAGTGCGAAATGCCGGCCAGACTGGCCGATGCACCATTTTCTCTACACATGTCCGTTAGTTACCTTTCAAACCCTTACGTTCACTAGATGAATATATTTTCTACTTTCTATTTGAGTGAGACCACTTGATTCCGCGTACTATTCGAGATCTGAGCGCTTCCGTTCTCCCTGGCATTTGCATTTTAAGTTCCGATACTGACCGACCTGGCCAATGCACCATTTTCTCTATACATGTGCCTTGAATACATTTCAAACCCTTTTGGCTGACTAGATTTATATATTTCCCACCTTGTGATCGAGTGAGACCGTTAGATTCCCTCTACTTTTTGAGAAATGAGCGTTTCCGTTCTCCTTGGCCCTACTTGCACTATAAGTGCGAAATGCTGGCCAGACTGGCCGATGCACCATTTTCTCTACACATGTGCGTTAGTTACCTTTCAAACCCTTACGTTCACTAGATGAATTTATTTCCTACCTTCTATTTGAGTGAGACCACTAGATTCCGTGTACTATGCGAGATCTGAGCGCTTCCGTTCTCCCTGGCATTTGCACTCTAAGTTCCCATACTGACCGACCTGGCCAATGCACCATTTTCCATATACATATGCATTAGATTCCTTTCGAACCTTATTAGCTCACTAGATTTATATATTTCCCACCTTCAGATCGAGTGAGGCCGCTAGATTCCCTTTACTTTTTGAGAAATGAGCGTTTCCGTTCTCCTTGGCCCTACTTGCACTATAAGTGCGAAATGCCGGCCAGACTGGCCGATGCACCATTTTCTCTACACATGTGCATTAGTTACCTTTCAAACCCTTACGTTCACTAGATGAATTTATTTCCTACCTTCTATTTGAGTGATACCACTAGATTCCGTGTACTATGCGAGATCTGAGCGCTTCCGTTCTCCCTGGCATTTGCATTTTAAGTTCCGATACTGACCGACCTGGCCAATGCACCATTTTCTCTATACATGTGCTTTGAATACATTTCAAACCTTTTTAGCTGACTAGATTTATATATTTCCCACCTTCTGATCGAGTGAGACCATTAGATTCCCTCTACTTTTTGAGAAACGAGCGTTTCCGTTCTCCCTGGCCCCACCTGCACTAGGAGTGCGAAATGCCGGCAAGACTGGCTGATGCACCATTTTCTCTACACATGTGCGTTAGTTACCTTTCAAACCCTTAGGTTCACTAGATGAATATATTTCCTACCTTATATTCGAGTGAGACCACTAGATTCCGTGTATTATGCGAGATCTGAGCGGTTCCGTTCTCCCAGGCATTTGCACTCTAAGTTCCCATACTGACCGACCTGGCCAATGCACAACTTTCCATATACATATGCATTAGATTCCTTCCAAACCTTATTAGCTCACTAGATTTATATATTTCCCACCATTTGATCGAGTGAGACCGCTAGATTCCCTTTACTTTTTGACAAATGAGCGTTTCCGTTCTCCTTGCCCCTAGTTGCACTATAAGTGCGAAATGCCGGCCAGACTGGCCGATGCACCATTTTCTCTACACATGTGCGTTAGTTACCTTTCAAACCCTTACGTTCACTAGATGAATTTATTTCCTACCTTCTATTTGAGTGAGACCACTAGATTCCGTGTACTATGCGAGATCTGAGCGCTTCCGTTCTCCCTGGCATTTGCACTCTAAGTTCCCATACTGACCGACCTGGCCAATGCACCATTTTCCATATACATATGCATTAGATTCCTTTCAAACCTTATTAGCTCACTAGATTTATATATTTCCCACCTTCTGATTGAGTGAGACCGCTAGATTTCCTTTACTTTTTGAGAAATGAGCGTTTCCGTTCTCCTTGGCCCTACTTGCACTATAAGTGCGAAATGCCGGCCAGACTGGCCGATGCACCATTTTCTCTACACATGTGCGTTAGTTACCTTTCAAACCCTTACGTTCACTAGATGAATTTATTTCCTACCTTCTATTTGAGTGAGACCACTAGATTCCGTGTAGTATGCGAGATCTGAGCGCTTCCGTTCTCCCTGGCATTTGCTCTCCAAGTTCCCATACTGACCGACCTGGCCAATGCACCATTTTCCATATACATATGCATTAGATTCCTTTCGAACCTTATTAGCTCACTAGATTTATATATTTCCCACCTTCTGATCGAGTGAGACCGCTAGATTCCGTTTACTTTTTGAGAATTGAGCGTTTCCGTTCCCCTTGGCCCTACTTGCACTATAAGTGCGAAATGCCAGCCAGACTGGCCGATGCACCATTTTCTCTACACATATGCGTTAGTTACCTTTCAAACCCTTACGTTCACTAGATGAATTTATTTCCTACCTTCTATTTGAGTGAGACCACTAGATTCTGTGTACTATGCGAGATCTGAGCGCTTCCGTTCTCCCTGGCATTTGCACTCTAAGTTCCCATACTGACCGACCTGGCCAATGCACCATTTTCCATATACATATACATTATATTCCTTTCAAACCTTATTAGCTCACTAGATTTATATATTTCCCACCTTCTGATCGAGTGAGACCGCTAGATTTCCTTTACTTTTTGAGAAATGAGCGTTTCCGTTCTCCTTGGCCCTACTTGCACTATAAGTGCGAAATGGCGGCCAGACTGGCCGATGCACCATTTTCTCTACACATGTGCGTTAGTTACCTTTCAAACCCTTACGTTCACTAGATGAATTTACTTCCTACCTTCTATTTGAGTGAGACCACTAGATTCCGTGTAGTATGCGAGATCTGAGCGCTTCCGTTCTCCCTGGCATTTGCACTCTAAGTTCCCACTCTGACCGACCTGGCAAATGCACCATTTTCCATATACATATGCATTAGATTCCTTTAGAACCTTATTAGCTCACTAGATTTATATATTTCCCACCTTCTGATTGAGTGAGACCGCTAGATTCCCTTTATTTTTTGAGAAATGAGCGTTTCCATTCTCCTTGGCCCTACTTGCACTATAAGTGCGAAATGCCGGCCAGACTGGCCGATGCACCATTTTCTCTACACATATGCGTTAGTTACCTTTCAAACCCTTACATTCACTAGATGAATTAATTTCCTACCTTCTATTTGAGTGAGACCACTAGATTCCGTGTACTATGCGAGATCTGAGCGCTTCCTTCTCCCTGGCATTTGCACTCTAAGTTCCCATACTGACCGACCTGGCCAATGCACCATTTTCCATATACATATGCATTAGATTCCTTTAGAACCTTATTAGCTCACTAGATTTATATATTTCCCACCTTCTGATCGAGTGAGACCGCTAGATTCCCTCTCCTTTTTGAGAAATGAGCGTTTCCGTTCTCCTTGGCCCTACTTGCACTATAAGTGCGAAATGCCGGCCAGACTGACCGATGCACAATTTTCTCTAGACATGTGCGTTAGTTACCTTTCAAACCCTTACGTTCACTAGATGAATATATTTCCTACTTTCTATTTGAGTGAGACCATTTGATTCCGTGTACGATGCGAGATCTGAGCGCTTCCGTTCTCCCTGGCATTTGCATTTTACGTTCCGATACTGACCGACCTGGCCAATGCACCATTTTCTCTATACATGTGCGTTGAATACATTTCAAAACTTTTTAGCTGACTAGATATATATATTTCCCACCTTCTGATCGAGTGAGACCGTTAGATTCCCTCTACTTTTTGAGAAACGAGCGTTTCCGTTCTCCCTCGCCCCACCTGCACTATGAGTGCGAAATGCCGGCCAGACTGGCCGATGCACATTTTCTCTACACATGTGCGTTAGTTACCTTTCAAACCCTTACGTTCACTAGATGAATATATTTCCTACCTTATATTTGAGTGAGACCACTAGATTTCGTGTATTATGCGAGATCTGAGCGGTTCCGTTCTCCCAAGCATTTGCACTCAAGTTCCCATACTGACCGACCTGGCCAATGCACCACTTTCCATATACATATGCATTAGATTCTTTCTGAACCTTATTAGCTCACTAGATTTATATATTTCCCACCTTCTGATCGAGTGAGACCACTAGATTCCCTCTACTTTTTGAGAAATTACGTTTCCGTTCTCCTTGGCCCTACTTGCACTATTAGTGCGAAATGCCGGCCAGACTGGCCGATGCATCATTTTCTATACACATGTGCGTTAGTTACCTTTCAAACCTTTACGTTCACTATATGAACTTATTTCCTACCTTCTATTTGAGTGAGACC